TTTTTTTTATTTTACAGGAATACTGCGATCTAATTTGCCCTCTGACATGCCCCGCCTGTCCTCTCCCCTAAAATCAGGTGCCCGTGAGTCTGAGGGGCGCGCTTCACACGTTCTCCAGGCGGCCCCACAAGGAATCCCTACCGTTTTAATTATAAGATATTTATGAACTGTAGCCAACCCTCCTATTTTCATGATCGATGCAATTTTAGAGGCCCGATGATGAATTACCGAACACATATAATTGCCGGATATACAGTTAATGCATTATTTTACTTTAGCGGGAAGCGCGTTCGCCGAGTCACGGGTCAAGGGACGTGCTCATCCAATTAGAGCTCTTGCCGGCGACCAGTATTTTAACTTTTAGAAAATGAATCGTCTAACAAAACGCTCAATTGGTAGAGCGTTGGCTGTACTAAAGCCTTAACCCCTTGTTGATGTGGACGCAAATCCCACCGAGGCAGCGAAATTTTGCACCGTTGGGTCAATTAAATTATTCAAATCTGCCAAAACCGGCCTAGTAAAACGTTATCCGTTGGAATGCACAGTAACCAACAACCGATTTAGGGTGTTGTTACTACAGACTGCACCTTCGAACTGGCCGTGACCGTGATCAATGTTATCACAGAAGCCCTATTAAAAAAGAGAACATTCTCAGAGTCTGGTATTACCTTTGGGCAGGAAAGGATGGAGAACGGATGCTGTAGGTAGGGAGAACCAGATTCGGAAGGCCGTTACGCATGCGGACACCGACGCATCAGGTGTCCCAAGTCCGAGGAAGTAAGTGCGTAGACCGCTGCTTAGGTCTAAGAAGGAATAGAAGAAAAAAAAAACCCAGTAATTAGGAGAATGCAGAATAACTGCACATCGGAGGGCATTAACAGTGTCACACAGACTCGACCCATGTAGCCGCCGCCAAGGCGGCCGAGGATTGCAGTGGGTGGTTATCCCATTCTTACCAACCCGCCACCGGCTCTCATATATAGGTCCGCAAAGTTCGGTAACTGATTCGACTAGCAACGAAAGTAGATGAAGATAGGTTGTATTGATTCCACCCCGGGCATCTTTTGTAACAATGCGCCTCCGCCTAGCACATGACCGTTCAACCGTCAATTTCGACGTAACCGCACGCTTTAGCAAGCCTAAGGCAAATGCGTTGACTGGCGCTTGAATTAGATAGTGATAGTAGACACACTGCGTCTATTGCAGTCTCTCCCTCCTCCCAACTCGGCTCGGTGTTCTGACTAAGTCAAAAAGACCGCAGACAGGAGATGGTGCAGGGGGCTAGCGCGGCTGGAGCCGCCTCATCTAGCTCGTATTCCACGGAGTGTAAGTAGACACTGAAGCTTGACCCTCAATCAGCCACTCCATACTCACGCACTGAGCTGACCACCTGGTCCAAATTATCCCGCGAGTGGGCAACCTTCCAAGCCAAGTCTAATATATACTTGCACATACGCAGACACACAAACGACAGTCGTTCTTCTGGCGATCTGAAGCGCCTGGCCGATCCCTGAAAGGGTTAAGCTCTGCCTGCTGTTCGGCCAACCGACTTCCAGGCTGGCGACTTGTGGTTGATAAGCACAGAGGAGAATAGCAAGGACCATGTTAGCCGCATTGAGCTTAGCAACTACCTAAGCATTTTTTCCCTAAGCAACATAACCATTTAAGACCCCTTCAAAACGTTTCACCTAGTGTCAGGGGTGGAACTAATTACGTCCAATTCTGAAGCAGTTCTCTGTGTATCGATAGAATGCGATACCACATGTGTACTCCCTGCAGTAGTCGTAAAGTTGCTAACCAACGTCAGTGTGTTTATAGCCTTGCTGAACAGGAGGATTAATATGAACAAATAAACGGTAAGTAGAAGAGGGCGAATGCAGGGGGGGGATGAAAGTACCATTCATTCTTTCGGCGAAGCGTTTCACGACCTGGCTGGCGAGCGACTGGGCCAGAAATTCGTGTAGGCTGGCGGCGGCCCTATCCCTGGAGGGTGGGGCAGTGCCAGTTCGTCTGGGCGAATGGGACCGCAGGAAGGCGGTAATTAGCTTGAGTTGCATAATCGTGGCTGGTTGATCCCACCTCGCGAGACAGTGAGAAGTCTGTGAAAGACAAAACAACGATTAGAGATCGGGAAAATTAGAGCTGACCCAATTTTGAACAATGCTCTCCCAGTTACGCTACGAATGCCACGCGTGTAAAGGCCTTTTCTACTATGCCGGATCAAATCCCGCCGAATGCCGCGAGTTTTTTCACAATTGGATCGACTTAAACTTAAGCAAATCTGCCAAACCTCCTAAATAATCGGGAAAATTGGCAGATGCAGGAAATCATAGTTAAAGGGGGGGGGGGGGGGGGGG